GGTCTTATACATCGAGCTGACATTTAACATTTCATTGCTACAAATGTTCTACAACTACAGCTTTATTAAACATGTGCATTTAAACTACTGAACATTTTGGTCCTAGATTCATTAAAGAGGGTTTTGTAACCAGGAAAAGATTGCAAGAATGAGGTTTATGTTTAAAATGGCACTGAAAAAAGTGGACTAACTAATGTATGGAATGGACAGACGTAAACCAAACCAGCTGAACCCTGACATAATGCTCATGTCTGTGAGTCATACCAAGCTAATCTGCACCTAAAGTGCTTCACAGCCATGTTTCTGCAGGAAAAACATCACAGACACACTCAAGTCTGGGGTCCTTCTGCCTGTAGCTGTTCTGCATTTGCCATTCAGCTCAGTGGTGTAACAGTATGAAATGGGTTTGTATTGACTTCATGCTTACACAATAATTGCCTTTTTGTGTAGATTCAAACAATCTCAAGAAGGTGACAAACCCTACATGCAAACTCTGTACTGTAGTAATACTGCAGCATTGATTGACAGTGTACAGTACTACATGCTTTGCATTTTGAAATGTGACCATTAAATAGTATAGGGTGCCAATTACTTTTACTTAAAGGCATCATAAAATGAAATCACAATGGTACATCTAAGTAAAGGCTCTCAATTAAAGGATCACGGTGTTGTACCAGTCATCAACTGAGCAGCTGTGGCAGGCACAAAACACCTTTCCAGTAATGGACCTTTTTCAGGATTTCTCCGATCACTCGATCAAAATGAAAGTGAGGAGGGCAGACTTTTCATACAAGAGTAAATAAAAGAGTGTCAAATCCAAAGTACTACACACATGACTAGGTACTTGTCTGTAGGTTAATACGGCTGATATCAAAGAGTGTGGACGTAAGGTGCACTACAGAGTAAACCAGTTCAAATCGCATTGATTTTGACTGTAATAGTACAAAGACAAGTTGCGATGAAAATCAGGAATAAATATAGAAGGTTCACAGATGCAGGGGCAGAGTGGTGACTCATTCAAAGCCAATCAAAGTGATCATACACATTCAATGTGCATGTGGTCCAGCTGACATCATCCTCTGAGCACAGGGAGTGTGCACAAATGCAGCCTGCAGAATAATTCACCGGGGGGGGGATGATGCTTAAAAAAAGGTTTAAGTATCAACATAAAGCTTTAAACATTGTTTGTTTTTGCCAGCAAAAGCATAGATAGGTCTAAAAATAACTTTTAATGTAGGAGAAGAAAGAAACAACCAAAAAAGACTAAATAATAAGGGGCTGCTAATGAAATCTAACTGTTGTCTGTTCGTGTTCCCAGTAGTCACACAGGCCTCCCCAGCCTCCCAATGACACCGCACTCCTTCATTAAATGCAGCTTCTCATCCCTTGCCCACTGACTATGTTAATTACAGCGCATGCTTGTACTTCAGACATCACAGACAGGTCTGTAATTTACAAAAGGGTTCAGTAACATATTAGACATCAAACTACAGCATAAAAGTGCAGGAGTGCAGGAGGAACAAGCTGCACTGCTAAAGAGTGCATCTTCACAGACTTGTATGTTTGGCACCGTGCAAGAGGGGCATCCTACATATATGATGATGAAAGAGAGTGGAGTGTCTCAGGAGCAGCCGGCGACCTCATATAAACCAGAGTTTAAATAATCCATGTGAAGTCTGGCAAAGCTCGTGTATAAACTGACTTACAATTTCTGTCACTGGAATAAACAAACAGGAAAATATGCTAAAGCTGAACAAAAGCCTAAGACTACAGAAGGTGCTTATAATAAAAGTAAGGATCAGTCATGTCAGTGTCCTGGATGTAAAGGGACCCTGCTCACACAAGGCAGGATCAAGAGTTCAGATAGACCTTTAGTCCATGGAAGTCATCAATTAAATTTTAAGGTCACTTCCTAAAACAAAGAGGCAGCTTGTGAAGTATCATTAGTTCTTGTCTGTTAGTTTTGTTTACAGGCATAGCACAGTGGAGTCGTCATACTGCTTCATGGTAGGGCGGGTAAACAGCAGCAGCCTAGATAAGGCAAGATAAACACATGTATAATTCACTTCATGTCACTGACGTGCAAAACACTTCCATTTGCAGCAGTGTGCCTGAGACGGAGTAAATATGACTGAACAAATGTACTTACATGGTGTTTAATGCTGAGGTTCAGGTCAGGTTGAGGCCTTCTTGAAGTGGGATGAAAATGTTGAAACAACAGGCTTAAGATGAGAATTCTACTGCTGTTAAAATGTAACCATAAAAACTGTACTTATTTAAATGAAATCTTAATCTACACAATTTGTTTGACTATTCACATAATTTAGAGCAGGGGTGGCCAGTCCCGGTCCTTGAGGGCCGCTGCCCTGCTTGTTTTCTAACTATCCCTGCCCGACCCACTGCTGACGACCTGGATCAGGTGTGTACAGTCAATCAGAAAATACCATCTTAGACGAAGGCTGAGAAAAGACAAAGTGAATCGGTATCTTCCAACTTAATAATAGAAAAGACTGGCAGAGCACACAAACCTCTGAGTGCACAGCCTCCGGCCAATATAGTGACAGACACAGAGGCACTCAACTGGAAGCCCAGAAATGAAAGAAAATAGGGCTGCACATGGGAAGGAATAGAGAGAATTAGAGATGGGAAAATTAATGAGTGAGGATAGAAAAGGTAAAAGAGGAGGGATAGAAAGATAAAAGGGAAAGGATGAAGAAGGAAAACTACAAATGGTGTAGCTAGAAAAATCTAGGATGGAGACACTGATGGATGAAAGACTGGAGTCGGTGAAGCTGATTTTAGAAACTAAAACCTGTGCAATCATTTCACTGAAGGGACGTCTACCAACTGAAGCAGGTGTATATAACAATATATATTTAAAATGTTAAAGATTGAATCCTGCTCGTCGGTTTTAGGCTTTTTTGTTTTCTTGCCAAAAACATTAACACGTTTATAAAGGTCAGCAGATGTTTAAAAAAGTTTGTTGTGGAAGCCCCTGCTGCTCACATGCAGGCCTGTACTCTGAAAGCACATGAAACAGGCTGAAACAGTGAGCCCTGTAGAGACACGTTCAGTAAGCAATCCCTGCAAAGTTTACCCTGCACTTGTCTTCAGCTATGTTGAATGATCATCAGCCAACAGCACTGAGCATAAAACAAACGCTGGTATCAAGGAAAGTTCATTGAATACTAAGAAACATCTCTCTACACAGTATCTCCCGTGTTGGGAGGTAGCTCTCAACATCTAGAAACCTGCATCAGTTCAGGAGGCACATATTCTGGTATTTTGTTAGTATTCTGAAATCTACACAGGGAGTAGAAAATACAAACCAAGTGGACAGCGTTTCATTCCAAAAAAACATTCTAATAGAGAACAGAACACCGGATACAGCATGCAGCCAGCAATCAGTGTGACAAAAGAGGTGATGAGGTGCCATTTATTACTCATGGTAGATGGTCGAACAACACAGACTCAGGGTTTTGCTGGAAACAGGAAGTCCAGTAAGTCACTCAAGAACACATAGTCTCATGTTGACCACAAAGAGACCAATAGTCTGCATGATTAATAATGAGAGGACGTCACTGTGGTCTCATGTTGACCATAAACAGACCAATAGTCTGAATGATTAATAATGAGAGGACGTCACTGTGTCACCAAACGTCACATCTCTAAACTTGGAGGTGCCATTTACCACTGAATGACCAGTGGTGTCATAAGGTGGTGAAAATCCAGACCATCCTAAATTAAAGGCTCAGCAACTGTCACCAAAAGAGACATTATGTCATGAAATATCAGAAATTATGAAATAAAAGGACGTCCTCAGAAAGGGGGATTTTGAGGAAGAAAAACTTTGATGACATAAAAATGAGCTCCCAGAAAACTCCTTGATGGTGAAATTATGTTTATAACAGGTGTAATGACCTGACTTTTAATCATGCATTACATTATTACATACATTTATTTTGTTGGCTTTTGTTCAGCTATATTCATTTTCATACTTTATAATGTCTTACTTGAGGAATGTTTAATTATAGAAGAAAATAGATGAATTTTCTGCACCATAACAGTGAGTTATGACCCAGCTCTCCTTGGGTGCAGTCCAATATATTTTTTGGTGACAAAGCAGGGTGAAAATGGCCACTGCCATAACATTTGATGAAAAACTAACCCAGTAATTTTTTGCTTTCAGGTTAGCCTAAAGGAAATGCGCACACTTCCAAAAGGGTTCTATAAATGATGCTCCACAACACGTGTAAGCAAAATATTGTATCGTCACAAATTTATCCTGAAGAACTACAGAGAGAACTTCACCGCTCGTGTCACCAGGAGCTCAGCAAACCAGCCTGGGGCAAAAAAAAAAAAAAAAAAGATGCACAAATGTGAAAATAACCAAGACAGCTGCTATGCGGCAATGAATAAATGATTTCAGGGAGTTCATGGCAGCAGAGTGGTGCGTTTATGAATAGTTACCCGCATCCAAAACAGACTTAAAGCATGCAACACAAGAGTCTGCGTAGTGAGCACTGCCTGTACAACAACGGTAATTAGCAGCCACACAAACGATCCCTGCACGGGTCAGCATGACAAAACCTAACCAACAACCCTACGGTCAATGCTCTAGCCGTTTGGATCGAATGCTACATAACAACCGTCCGATGTGACCACTTTGCAGCATGCAGAGGGAACAATACCTTTGCAGGTGTGTCCAGGCAGGCAGCTGGAAGTGAGTGAGTTTGTGATGCTGAGTACAGTGGTGAGGCATGGATGCTGCACTGCCTGGCAACCTAACAACCAATGGCATAAATGAAGGGAAATCTAACAGAAAACATTATATATGCACAATTCACTAGATGCATTTAATCAACTAAAGGTTCCTCTCAGTGTTGGGCTGAACTGACTCTGTTTGTAATTCAGGTAACTTGCTTGAGTGTAATGTAAAGAACCTATTACATGAGAATATGATGTGTACAGTACAAGAAGGTTAATAAGAGATCAACAAATACTTATGTCAGACTTTATTTTTTTATTTGTTAAAACTGTGCGACTGTAGCCCGGTACTGCTCAGCATTTCCATACCACTTTGATCCCGTGCTTTCTGGACAGCAGGCACATCTACAGCACCCTCTAGGGAATTCACTGCATAAGTGGGTCGCTGTGTGGTACAGGGTTACTTTGTCCTGTGGACGGAGTTGTGCAGCACCTTCTGGATTTTAAAAAAACCCTGCTGTGTAAAAGAAAAAGTTTATCTCAAGTGTTTGCCAGGCCAAAAATAGGAAATCCTATCAGTCAGAGAGGAGAGCGCAGCTCTCATCGGATGTGAGACATCTCCTCCAGAAACGGAGTCTTCATGCAGCCTGTACAAAGCTGATCCATCCACAGAGGAGCCTCGTGCTGCAGAGGGGTGCGGCGGGGGTAGAAAGTGTATGTGAGGTCGTAATTCAACAGGCAGCTTAGGGAGGCCATGTAGATGTCTGAGAAACGGCACAGACGTCTGGAGAAGTAGGTAGGGTTGTGACATGTTCTGAAGATGCTGCCGAAATGAGGGTTGAACAAGTTCTTTGTCATCACCCTGGAACAGAAGGTTGTAGGGTCAAGGGCGTATGCATTCATGTATTTAATAGTGGAAGAAGTATTCAGACATTTCTGCAACAGTAGCACAACTACAAAGTAAGAATACTCACTCACAAGTGAAGGTATTGCACCCACCACACTATCAGAACGGACTCTGTCTGCATGATTACTGTTACTGCTGCATTAACACGTAAACAGTATTTTAATATTGTAGCTGCAGCTGGCTGAGGTGGGGGTTACTGTAATTCTATTTTTATACTGTTGGGAGTTTAATTTCATCTATATGCTCATTACAGGCTTTTAAAATCTTTGCCTGGGGAGTAACTAGAGCTGTCAAATGCTCAAGAACTGTACTCAAGTGCAGTGCTTCATTCATACGTGACAGAAGCAGGGTCACTGGGTTCACTGAATGGTGCTTAAGACTAAGTGGAGGACAAAGGTAATGGCTCTCACCTGAGTTCTTCTCTCTCCTTCTGCCACTCCTGAAGAATTTTTGTAGAGTCTGGGTCCCGGTGTGTCTAGGATAACGAAGAACACAACACTATGAACAAATCATCTACTAGTATGCTTACTGTACATGTAAAGGGAAAACTGAATATTTACCATAAATAACCAGTTATCTGACCCTCAGTTCAGCATTGAGAACACACAGCTTGTAGAAGAAGTTCAGTTTCACACTACTCGTAAACTTGTAAACAGAAACTACAGGGACGGGACATTTTTTACATTCTACTTTGGCAACATGTCATCACACCAGCTAAGAACCCACTGACTGAATAGATGGAATGTCAGATGGAGCGTCAGTGCAGATTGTGCCGTCGGTTCATGTAGCAACCTGCGGTTTACTAAGTGAGCCACCGCCGGCTATGAGAGGTCGACATCAGTCTCCTTTCACCCGTCATCTTTGTTATCTGGTGTTATCTCCCTGAAGGCAGAATGGAGTAAAAGCTCAAAACAATCCTGCGATTAACCTCTCACCTGCAAGCGTTCGATCAGGCCGGTTAGAGCCTGTAGCCAGGTGAGCTTCAGCGAATACCGGTCTGTGCTCACCACTCTGGTTTCCTGCTCCAGCTCAGGCACTATGGCTCCGGTACGCCAGCCATGTTGCAACATCAGGTCCTGTAGCAAAGGGTGAAACTGCTTTGTCAAGCTCCAGTGTGTGCAACCAGTGTGCTTATATGCACTTCCCTCATTTTTGTGTGTGAGTGTGGATGTTTTTATGTGGTTAGTAGTATAGTACGATTATGCACACAATGTGTTCTTATGTGGGGTTTTTTCCTTTTTCTTAAACCTATTTTTTTTCTTGGTATTATATTGATCCTGCACACTGTGTACTGTAGTATTGTACTACTTCTCTGTGTGTATGCATGAGGTTGTCTTGTGGTCTTTATTTATTCTGCTTGTGAGCTGCTATAACAAGTGAATTTCCCCAGTGAGGGATTAATAAAGCTTATCTTGTCTTACTTAAGTGACTTGGTTACAGTCAAACGTCAGTAGGCTGCCCACATACTGACAGTGCATCTTTAATTTGATGAGACTAAACAACAGGAACAATATTTTATCACCCAGCGACAAATGCATATGCACCAAAACCATGTGTGCGCCTTTTCCTACGCATCAACTGTTACTTATAAAGACAGATTGTGGGGGCAGAACGTGCACACCTCCCACACACATGTGCACATGTGTACATACAGTTTGGGCGGTTGTGATATGGTGAACTAATGTGAGATAAGGCGAGACGACCAACTGTAAACAGCTTGCGTTACTTTTAGCGGTTACATATATTCCACTTTGTGAGTGGAATATATGTAATCAAATAATCAAATTTTCAATTTTCTTTTGCTTTTGACATCTTTCCTGTTTTTCCATTTTCTTGTAAATTATTCTGTAAACTGCTGATATTACTGGCTTTTATTTTTGTTTAATGATGAGACCTCAGTAGCACACTGATCAACCTTTTTAAGGTGTGTGATTAAAGTACAGCTCTCTATAAACGACTGTAGCTGTGCATAGTGGTTGTGCTTAAGGATGGCTGCTCTGGTGTTACTGGAGGGTTGTGCAAATGCAGCTATAAAAGACAGAATGTTTAGAGATTGTTCTGATTCCCTGCAAAGCTGTGTGGCTCAGACAGTGCAGATGATGGATGAAGGGCTTGTATATATCTACAAACAGTGGAAAAGAAGCTCCTTCACATGCACCCTGAGAATTATAAAACAGAACCAGTATGTGTGGCTTTAGTAATTTGACAAAAACAATGTGCACACAGTTTTGGTCATGACTCTCCACAGAGTTTTAAGCATTTGACCCCAGGTGTTTTACATTTCACCCATTCTTTCTATGAGCTTGAAGAACAGAAGCCCAGCAGGCCTCTTTAGGAAGCAGCTGTGCAGCAGTACCCCAGGTCAGACCCAAACACTGTGAGCCTGCTTTTAGCTACTATGCTGCACGAATTTGAAAATCTAATGTCTCTGCTGGCCTCATGTAGCTTTGACTGATCGGTTTCTATACCATATTTTTACTTCCCCTATTGAAACTGGATCATTATATTGTACAAACCTGCACTGAATATGAACTTTGGTCTATTTTCATTTTTGTGTATTTGCATTTATGGTATAGAAAGGTTAATGGATGTACTGTATATTTAGTTGTCATTTTGTTCAGATCTTATCTTGCTTCGCATTGGGTTTTTAAATGAATTTCTCAAGCATTCTTTCACTTTGTGTAAAGAACCTTGAACTGCTTGCGTTTGAAAAGTGTCTGATTAGACACACAACTGTACTTAGGGAATATATATGCTTTTAAGCTGTTAATGTGATCATATACTTTGTATTTCTATCATTCCACAAGTCTGAAGCAATAACAGGGAGCCCATACTGCCATCTGGTGTAAATGTGTGCAGCCTCCACCAGCGCCGTCCTAAGGCCACAGAGGAAGAACTGTGCAATAGGTGGAGAGAGCAGGCATGTAAACGTCTCTGCTTGTAATGTATGTTTGACAGGACCCGGACCATAAATAATACATACTGGCAAATTACAGCTTTAGAAGCCACTGTATAGTTACAGTAACGGCACAGTAGCAAAACTGAAAACGTCATTTCTTGTAGGATTCCAATTTAGAATGAAAATGAATGTGCATTAAATATACACACAAAAAAAATCATCAAAATACAACATCAGCAGTCAGTCCTAATGCAGATAGTTAATGCAGTGATGATATTGGAAAACCGTGTGACACTTACAGCCAAATCACTGTAAAGATGGTCTCCAAAGTAAAGCACCTTCGATCCTCGCCAGCCTGTCAGTCTGAGGAAGTCAAACAGGTTTCCCTGCAACACAAAAGAAAACCACAAAACACGGGCCAATCTCTTTAGACACACAATGCACAAGCATAAAGATTTACAACATGAAAACCACAGCTATTAAACACAGAGATAAGTTTCCTGATTAGAGGAGCAGACCGTGGCTCCAACATAAGGCAACATGTAGCGTCCACAGCTGTCGGACATGGCGATGCTGACCTGTTTGTAGATGTGCCCTTTGTCCAGACTTTTTATTTTCTCCCACCGAAGGTCTCCGTTACTATCCAAGCGTCTGAAAGGTCTGTAAGAGTAGAGGTAACCAACATGGCATTGTATGAGTATCCGCTTTGATGTACGTTTCTGAGATGATATCAAGCTGGATGTGATTGTTTGATTCAATCTAACATTTCTGAAGCACACCATCAACGCCCTGTTCACTGCTTTCTCCAAAACATTCACTCACTTGATACAATCAGTGAAGAAGTGAGGTTTGCCAGCCTGCACAATGATAACATCAAAGAAGTCTCTCCAGTTTTTTCCCACCATGTGCGTCATTCCTTTATCCCTGCAGACAGAAGAATTACACATCGAGTGAGACAGACTGTCTGCCTGATTATGAGTCACAGTGATCTCTCAAAGTCAACACTTACACAAAGCTGAAAGGACTGTTGGTTATGAGGAATAGTTTCTTTCCGTTACTGACCAGTCGATGCAATACAGCATCTGTTTCTTCTCCTCTCGGAATGAACTTATCTGTGGACAGAAGAAAGAAATCTCAGGAGCACAAAGTGTAACGGGTTATGTCACTGTGTGTGGAGCAATGTCCGGACTCAATACAACAACAACAACAAACTGATTTCCTACCCAGATCCTGCATGATCCATTTGTACATGTAGCCTTTGAGGTGAACCATGCCAATTGCTTCCTGGGGATTAAATCAGAGTTACAGAGACATAAGAGATTTTTTACAACAGATCTGTGCTGTTTGACAATTTTATGGCTTTTTTTTTCTGATCTAGCAGAGAATTTTTTGAAGCAGTGGGGACACGCTGTAGTGCCCTTTCACTGGAAATCACCAAGCAAAAAGCAGTCAGTGTTCTCTGTTTTAGCCATGACAGTCCAAACTTAACTGAGCTCAGCAGATTCCTGAGCCTCCGACTGAACAATCGCTGCATGTGCCAACAGCTAAATACACTAGCTCTGTGGGCTTCTCGGTATGAGCTTAAGGGCGAGGCCAGACCTCAAAACACAGGGTGTAACGTTTAACACCACAACAGTCAGAGGGCATTCTCACCGAGACATCCTTGAAGAGGTGAAGTGGATCGTATTCGATATCATTGGTGATGAAAAAATCATTTGCCACAGCCAGGAGCGTCATCTCAGGAATGGAGAAGATGTCCATGAACTGCTTCACCTTTGGACCCTGTGTGGGGAAATACATTTAATTAATGCTTGATAAATACGCAGTCAAAGTTTTTGAACTTGCACAGTGATAGTTTCATATAATACATTGATACGATAGTTTTAATTATATCCCAATGGCATGTGGAATGGTGGAGGATTTACTTCTAAGATTTCCGTTGCTTTGCTTTGTATCTTTCTCCCTTGGTCACTATGGCGCGCTCCTTTGTCCAGCTGCCTTTTGTTCAACCTCTAAATTAAACTCTGTGTGTCTCTGAGTCCAGGCTGACAACCTGCTGAGATGGCCTCTTTTTTTAACCAGGCATAAAGTACCAAGAGAGAAATCCTTTCTACTCTGTGTGCACAGAGAAGAGAATAATTTCCTCAACCAAACCATTTCCACTATTATCATCATCATCTAGTACGATGCTACCGTGAAAACAGAGCCACGTCCCCAAATGAGACTAGAACCGCACCAAAAGAACTTCAGATAAGACAGTTTCAAGGAGGATTAGAACAGAGTGCCACAGTAGTGAGTCCTAAACTCCAGAACTGAGTTGTGCACTTCTGGTTCCCTCGCCCTGAAGTCTATTGGTTTTGGTCAGATGTCTGAAATAAGGTCTGTTGGTTAACACAAGGTCAAGAGATTTTCATGTTTTATTCTACAACATAAAATACATCAGAAAATATTTCACTTGTGACTTTTAAAACTTGTCTTAAAAAAGACAGTTGTTACAGAGGGTGTCTGGGATATTAAGCGTCATCATGCTGAGACTCATCTGCTCACTAGTCCTCCTTTACAGCCTTGTTATGTTTCTACTGGCGCACTTTCAAACTATTCTAACTAACCGACACAGCCATGATCACTACCTAGATCAGGTCACACTAAAAGGAAAGGATTTTAAAAGAGAGGTAAGCGGTAGAAATCAGGGTACAAGTTGGAAGCCGTGGTGGCGACGCTGAAGCCATGGGGCCGTGGCGCAGTTGGTTTATAGCCTAACAATAGCTTTTTACTGCTGATGATCGCATTTGAGCTTCAAAAATCATACAGCGGTGCTGACTTGTGAAAATCTTCTGGACTGAACAAAACATGTAAGTGTCATAAACCATTGTTTGTCACAGAGCGTATTTTCTGCAGTAATCCAAAAGCCTATTGAAACATCCCACTTGCTGTTTGTCGAGGGAACCAGGGCGATGAGCCCAAACTGCTCCCACTTAACGAACAGGTCAGAGAAGTGACTGCCAGACTTCTACTTTTCATCAAAGATTTGAATACAGCATGTAAAAAATCATAACTAAAAACAATTGAGCATGTTGTAAACAATTCTCTTGTTTATTTAGAGACTGGAACACTGTGTCCAGCTGATTTATGATGAGCATGGAACAAGTGAGATTCCAAAATTCACCATTGGGACTTATGTAATAGTAAAGCCAGTTGAAATCTGTGGCAAGGTACAAATGAAATCCTTAACTAGACACGACTGTAACTGATGTGTTGAACCCACAATGTTAAAAAAGGGCTTTCTCATCTGTGCCAAACCAAACACGTTTCACAGATATGAAACATTCAACAAGCATCTGAAAGCAGAGTGCAATAACTGTAACAGATGTCAGGCAGCTCTCTCAACCCAGCTCTAATTTAAGGTTATTACAAACATTCAAAGCCACTGATCTATGCTTCAATGAAATAATATGCCTGATCTAGATGATCCTGTTGGATTCCTGTGACTATACACCACCGTAGCCTTCATCCTCCTCACCTTTCCATAGAAGCCACTGTCTTGTCGCAAGGGGACGTGGAAAGTCCCTCCATAGAGCTGAAGGACCTCTTCATCTGGCACTGGGCTCAGACCTCTGGGAACACCAAACATGAATGAATGAGGTAAAGTTCAAAAACACACATTATCTCAAGAAAGCAAACACTGACTTTGGCAGCTGGGATGTATATAAAGAGGCTGAATAAAATGAAGATGGCATACATTTCAAAACAGGCCACTGAAAGTTACGATCACACTGCATTTTCATATTGCCTACTAGTATTTTGCAACCTGGACACACACTTACCGATACACTGTTCCTGGCTGAATGTAATGGAAGGCATCTATCTTCATTAGAAGACTCTATGCAAGTTTAAAAAATAGATTTTCACTTGTAATTATTTGTCCAGGAAGATGTAAACACTTCTACTATTGGAGCAGTACATTTGTGTTTAAAAAATTATTTACCTTTTGGATGTCATAGTGAAGGCCCCGAACAGCAAAGTTGGGAAGATAATCATACTTGCAGATGCCCTCGGGGTACTGTCAAACAGGGGGACAAAACGGATAAATCTACCTAAAAGCACGTGTAATGCCAATATACTTGATGCAACTAGTGTTAAACACACCTTGAAGTGTTCAATCAGGAAGCTTCTTGCTGTATTGTAGATCATTGAGTTGAGCGCATTGGAGTACAGAGCCAGCGTGTAGTCATAGTCAAAGCCGTAGATATCAACCTCGGCCAGGTTGACCTCGTTGTTAGCGTAGATGGTGGAGGAGTTGAGGAGGTTACAGGATCCTGGTGGGATCAGGTCTGATTCAGGGAGAACACAGGAAATTCCCATTTAGCTCAGGAAATTCCCATTTAGCTTAAACAAGTAAAATCCAGATAAACTCAAAAACAAACATCAGTGACTAAGCAAGATAAGGAAAAAAAGACAAGTCACCGTTTTCACTGGAGGTTACTAGGCCACTTGATGACGGACTCGTATATTAATGTTCCTACTATGAAACCTGCTGATTCTGCACATGC